GATGTAAGCTGCACATATCTCGTCCTGGTATAGCAGCCTAACAGTTGCGACTCTGAACAGTTGGCTCGCTGATGAGGTATGTTTCAAAATGCTTAGTCTGTTCCTGCTTGAGGTGCCTGTGTCCCGAGTACTATAAATATAAATTGGGTTCTGGTGTATATGTCAGACCCCTTTATGGTTACGGGAAACATAGAGCAAGATCATTGTATGTGGCTTCCTAGCTGGCAGTGCCGGTCTACCAAACTTACAGCTTCACAGCGGGCGGACAACTGCACATGCCATATGTCCTCAGGTCACCTCCTGTGCCGCAGTTTTTGCCGCATAGCAACACTCGTGCCGCCGAAGGTGTGTACATATCCCCCTGATCTGAATGGATTTCATCAATCTGATACCATTGGCTTGAACCTACACAAGAAATGGCCTGGACCCTCGCAAGCAGCATGAACTTGAATGGACAGGCTCCAGCATCCCAAACTCCGAAGCGGCAGTTGTACCCAACCCGGCCTAACCTGAATCTCAACAGTCCGACAGTGCGCAGGAACCCTAGCAACACCCAACCAATCCTGCTCAGGCCTTTACTTGCTGGCGGTCCTGCTGGTTCTTCTACTGGCGATAGGCATGCCTATTCACTGAACATTCTGCTCGCCATTGCAAAAAAACCAGCCTCTCAAGATGAAGACTCCCTGATAGGTGCTATCACACTAATGGCAACGGATGCGGCATCCTTTCGTAAGCTTTACAAACACAGCCCTGGCGAGTTTCAAGAGATGGTGCACTATGTGCATAAAACACTTGGGGTATGTGGTCTAAACTGCATATGCTTCTTCGTTAACACATCTCTTTATAGAAGGACACCTTTACCAGATTAATCACACGCCTGCACCAGAACATTATCTTAAAACTCAGTGCCTACCTGGAAGAGAAGGGGAATGGGGTGAATAGGCCTGAACGCGAAATAGGTGAAGCTGCATTGAAGGATTGGTGGAATGTTTGGTGCAAGTTGGCGGGCAAGCCGGTTCCAGAGGAGATTGCATGGTAGAGCTGTGGACATTCTTTGTGAATGTGGGTATTATGCATAAATGAACTGTCAAACTTGCAGTACAGTCAGGGACAGCATGAAGCCTTCTCCAAATTCCCGCTGCGGAGTGCACACACAGAGAGCCCGACGTGCAGGACACACTCTGTTGCGCTGATGCACTCAAGTCTCCCATAACGGTGATGCACACTCACTGTGCCTGCCGCTCGCCACGGCGTGGGCACCGCTCTCGAGCTCAGACCGCCCCGACGCGGACTCCCTTGCGGATACTGCACCCCGACACTGATGTGTCTAGACGTGCATCGACGGCCGATAGCCGAGGGGGAGAGGACGTCTGAGAAAGGGGTGATGAGGGAGAGTAAGGGCTCGAGTTCCCTAGGATGGGTGACCACGGCCGTGTGCGCTGCGATACCGCCGACTCTGCTACACTGCGGGCCAATATATCTCGTCGCACTCGTAGATGCAGCCGCAGACACGGACGCGGACGCAACCGCCGACACGGACGCGGACACAACCGCAGACGCAGATGCGGACGCAGTCAAGGGCGCAGGCGCAAACGCAGACGCAGGACGGACGCGGACGCAGCGCAGACGCAGTCGACGATCCTTTACACTTGGTCGAGAGCGGAGCGTAACTCACCAATAAGCCAAACGCGACAAGACGTCCACAGACGTTGACAAGCGGGGCCGAGGTTTAGAGGGAAGGGAGTGGGAGTTTTCTGGGGAGTCTCCTGGACCCCCTGTTGACTATGTACAGTGTCCTATCTACGCAACGGTACTCGGGGCCGACCTACTTGGCCTGTGCGACGTCGTGATCGAGGCATGCCTCGAGCAGCGTGCGGTGGGTACGATCGCGCTGTCGCGCTCTGCGCCACTATCTCTCTTGAGCGTATTACCGCCCCGGGGCACGCCCCGCGCAGCCGCGTCCATTCCTCCTCCGCCCTGGCGCGAGTGGCTTCGACCCGGGCCTCCAACGCGGGCACCCCAACTCCAGTGCGGCCTGCGGCGCGACATGCCTCCAGTCAAACTGGGCAACAGGCCATGCAGGAGCCTGACGTGCGATCGATAGTCTCGCAAATGGGCCTAGGGAGTTACAGCGCCCACTGGCACCACGGGTGCTCTCATTTCGGACCAATTGTGAGTATACTATCTTGAGGGAGCTTTCGCTGTACCTCAATGTCTCACGGGAGGCTGATGTGTGGCATTCAGATGGGGGAAGCCCATGCGGAGCACAGGCACAGACATCTAGTCTGAATTAACAGAGCCTGTAGGTGTAGGTACTTACAGGAAGTGTGGAAAACTCCGTGAAGCATCAGGAAGTTGGTGTGGAATTTTGGTAACAGAGGGGACCGGCCCTGCAAAATGGCACGACTGCGTTTGCGTGGACTGCTACCAGACAATCTAGTGGACCGCCAGCTCAGACTCGTCCGCGCGTGTCTGCCTAGGTCTCGCTGCCATGCCCAAGATAAGGCCTTGCGGTTTGCCCTGAGGCTTCCACAGCTGTGATACAGACTGCAGAACTGCCAAGATGCAGAACTGCCAAGATGCGGAACTGCCAAGACGCAGAACTGCGAAGGCGCGAGGCTGCAAAGTTGCATACTCGCTGATCCGCAAGGGATCGAAACGCAAAAACAAGGGCCAGCCAACAGTGGGGCAATAACGGGCACATCATCGGGGCCCAAGTCAGGGCCTGACACCTGCGTAGAGGTAGGTGTTGGGGCAGTTGAGCTCGAGAGCGATGCCCACACCGCGGCGGGCAGCAGGCACAGTGCGCGCACATCAGCGCCTGCCTCCTGCTTCCGTTCTGGAGTGCACACACAGAGGGCCCGGCGTGCAGGGCATGCTCTGTTGCGCCCACCTCCTGCTTCCGTTCTAGAGTGCACACACAGAGATGCTCT